ATTATTTTTAAAAGTGCTCTTCTTGGATGCAGTGCAAGAAAAATTTTAAAAAAATTTAAAACATTCTTTTCGACAAAGATTTAATTTTTTTAAATTCTTTTTCCGAAGGCGCCTGAGATCCAAGACTTCGGCAAAGTTTTTTTTTTTTTTTTTTTGGCCTCAATTTTTTTGTGCAGCCCTTTTAAAGCACCGAAACTCCTAATTACAATTTGAGGATTTTTGTGGCTTTTTGTTATATTTAGTTACTTTATTTACGTTTACTTTGAATTTTTGGAAATTAGAAATTTGAGCTGCGTGAGTGCTTTGAATAATGGAGTTTAATGATTCAAAAATTGATAGTTATGTTATCATAGTGTCCACATATGATATCACGGAATGGACTCAAAATTTCGGACATCTTGTGGACGAAACATGTCTTGAAATTGCATGTGAAGTGTTTTAAATTCTATAAAAAGCAAGCGAAGTGGGAAAATCATGAAACTTGTTGAGATTTCAGTGATATCATATGTGGAGGCTATGATCAAACATGACTATCAAATTTTGAATCATTAAACTCCATTATTCTTACACGTCGGGCAGCTTTTACAAATTTCTATTTCTACATAAAAAAATCAAGTAAATAAAGTAAGTAACTAAATATAACAAAAAGCCACAAAAATCCTTAAATTGTAACTAGGAGTTTCTAGTGCTTAAAAAGGGTGCACAAAAAAATTGAGGCCAAAACAAAAAAAAAAAAAAAACTTTGTCGAAGTGTGTGGGGCATAGCACTCAAAAAAGGGTGTCTTTGCTGAAAGTCTCGCCATCGGCGATTGGCAAAGAATGTTTTAATTTTTTTTTTTAAATTCTCTCTTTGTCGAGTGCATCCACAGGAGCACTCGGCAAAGAAATAATAAAAAAAATTAAATCTTTGCCGAGTGCCCTCGTATTTTAAAAATAAAAAAAATTCTTTGCCGAGCTCCAGATCTGAGACGCTCGGCAAAGAATTTTAAAAAAAAAATAAAATCTTTGCCGAGTGCCAGATCTGGGTTACTCGGCAAAGAAATTTTAAAAAAAACAAATCTTTGCTGAGTGCCTCCCTGATCCGGCGCTCGGCAAAAAAGGCCGTGATCGGACGCCGTTTTCACGGGCAGCCTATGCCGAGTGTTGAGATTTTGACAACGTAGTGCTACAGTACACATATGCTAATGACGGATTAATTAGGCTTAAAAATTCGTTTCGTAAATTAGCCTCCATCTATGTAATTGGTTTTATAATTAATCTATATTTCATGCTCCTTATTAATATCTAAACATTTGATATGACGTGAATTTTAAGAGTGACAAGCACCCTCCTACTCCGTTCACGCCGTGGGTGATGGCACTCTCTCTCTCTCTAATCAATGTCATGTTTTGTTTCTCTTCCATTTCTAAATAAAATGTATTGGGGGAGCTGCATCGATCTCTCCCTCTATTTGGGGATCACCAATTAATGGGATGGGAAAGGAAAGCTGCTGGGGCTAATTTTTCGAGCCAACTACACCGAGGTCCAGTTTAGTTTGCAAAAAATTTTGCAAAATTTTTCACATTCTCCGTCACATCAAATCTTTGGACGCATGCATAAAGCATTAAATATAAATAAAAAATAAAACTAATTACACAGTTTAGACGAAATCCACGAGACGAATCTTTTAAGCCTAATTAGACTATGATTGGACACTATTTGCCAAATAACAACGAAAACGCTATAGTACTCATTTTTTGCAAAATTTTTTGCATCTAAACAAGCCCCAATATGGCAGTTGGATTGGGGATAAGGGAGCTGCTGGAGCTGCTCTAAAAGCTAAGCTATCTGCCCCGCAATTGTCAGGTGGCAAGTTAGTGCAGTGGAGCGAGATCAATTGGCCGCATGTGCTCTACGTAATTCGCTGCTTTACAAAAAAGGGAACACAGGATAAGATGGGCTCACTCGTAGTTATAACTAATCAATCAGGAGACGCCACTGTCTTTCTTACACTATCCATCTGTGCCAACAAGAAAAATAAGGGTTGTCGCCTCGGCATAAACATAAGCATATGCTCTTGAACTGCCTGCTGTCTTTGTTGGCGAATAGCTTGACCATGCTTCTGCTTTTTACATAACACCTTGCCTGTTCATCTGGTGAAGCTAATAATGAGAGGAGATCTCTAAAGCGCTTCTGTTTTGGTGAGAACGTGCTTACTAGCTGCAGATAGACTACATATATATTGTTTAAGGTGACTTGTGTGACCATGCATGGGACAAGCACAAAGATCTGCAAGATATTATTCTCAGTTCAAGTAGGATTTCAGATGTTAAATATGTTTTCGATCGAGGATCTAGCATCCGGATTACATATGTATTGTTAGAATTATAATGTGGGCTGCTTACTCTCCAAGAGTATGTACATAGTCCACCCTCAAATGTTTAGCAATATAAATAATGCATTACACTAATAACTGTATTTAATTACTCTCTATGTGGTATCTCACGACTTGAGATTTTTATCTTATGATACAAACCCTACTCATAGTCTATCCCCCGCATGCCCGGCCCTCATCAGGAGATCAATCTCTCCATCCGTCCATCATCTTCGATCACATGGGTTCATGCCGCAAAGCATGCATGTTGATCCACCACCCAATTCAAGAGAGTGTTTTTATTGTTAGTTGATGGGTTTTTTTGTTTTACTCTTTCTATGCCATTATTAGTTGCTTCAGGAGCGACTGATCAGTGAGAGGAGGCTGCAGAGAGGCATCATACAAGCTAGTACATCAGGAACTGGAAGGCGGCGATGGAGATGTTGCCGGGTTCGTTCGTTCCTCTCTTGTTGACGACCGACAACAGGCACTGTCTGCATTTGGTTACACCACCAAGCAAGCAGTCCTTTTCTTGGAGTAGTGTAGCATTCAAACCCACATGCTCTACCTCTACCTGCCTTTTTCCACAGCGTGATCGTGATCCTATCATAAGGTCCCGAGCTAGCTCTGCATTCATCGGTTCAGTTTCGGCATTTCGCGAGGAATATCCATCCAGTGCCCATTATTAATATTAATTAGAGCAGCAACCATGCCCATCCCGTGCCGCGTGCGCCATCTCACCGTCTAGCTCTGTCTCTCTGTCCAATTAAGTCTGTTGTTAGGCACCTTTCTGAAAGAATATTCTTCTTGTCATCTTCCAGACGAGGGAGAAAGCCATGGAAGACGAAAGGAAGGAACTGCAACTGCTGATATACGACGACTCTGGTCTCGTCTCGAGATCTGGCAGGCATCTTGTTGAGAGTCCACCAGCATCTCTTCTTGTTCAAACAGCCCACTACGGCACAACTACCTACCACCACCACGTACACGTACGGTATATTCTGCGGATATATTATGGCCTTAACCCGTATAATATTTAATAAATCAAATAAAACTTTATGGTCCGTAATATTAAGCGTTGTATGGTTTAATATCGTACGGGATTTTGACCGAACATTGCCTCAACTTATTTGGTTGAAAATTATCCATCTTAATTGAGAAGCTGAGAAAAGGATACAGGAGTGCCACACACGCGCGCCGCCGCCGCGGGCCGGGCCATGGCAAAGTGGTGGCGGCGAGCGAGCGGATGGGCGGGCGTGGCCAGGTTTTGCCACTTATTCCACATAATTACGGGAGTTCCTCTCCTTTATGGTGGAGGCAAGTTGATTGCGCGGTTACCGTCTCTTCGTGTCTCCATCTCCGAGTTCCTCCATTTGGCTTTCTCTCTCCCCGTGAGCATCCGGCGCTTTTCTAAGCATAGAAGTAGAAGTCCTCCGTCAGTCCAATTTCCTCTTCTTCGCTTCTGAGAGACCACATCTCAGCCGCCCTTTAGCTTTCCCGCCCGTGCACCTTTGCGCGCGACGGCGGGGAAGCGGAGAGCTGGAACCCTCGGAACGAACCGTCGAGGCGTCTGGCGATTAGGTTTTTGGGAGCGATTCATGGAACATCAATGTCTTCTTCTGGTTCGTGAACATCAAGGCGTCTTCTTCTGGTGACCGTTCGTGGGACTGCACTGCGAACACCTTCCTGCATCGACTGTGGTCCGCTGGGTACACTCTTAACTCTATAATTACCGTACTTTGCGTACTTACTGTATCGATCAGTATGTTATACTTGCATGCTGTAGCGTTTGTTAGTGATATACACATGCACATATATGTCGTCACGAACCTGCTGATATTTTATTTCTGGATTAAATTGACCATGAAAATACCTAATTATCTAACATATTATGTGGATGGAGCGGCCGGATCCTACTCTTATTAGATCATGTTTGGTTTCTATAGACGCTCTTAAAATTCCCATCACATCGAATGTTTAGACACATGCATGGAGTATTATTAAATATAGACTAATTCGAATCTTTTAAACTAATTACATATTTGACAACTAATTTGCAAGTAGCGAATGATTTTAGACCCTAATTAGTCCATGATTTGACAATTTTATGTTTTTATTAGTATCTAAATATTCGATGTGACATGAATTTTGAACCAAACACCCCATAGCCCTTGTTTAGTTTCACCCCAAAATTAATTAGACTTAAAAATCATCTCATAAATTAGCCTCCATCTATGTAATTGGTTTTATAATTAATCTATATTTTTGCCTTTTATTAGTATCTAAATATACATGAATTTTGAACCAAACACCCCTTAGTGTTTTTGTTTTGTTTGTTTGGTGTTTCGTCACCACTCGATGCCTGTCGCCCGTGAAAGGACACCACATCAAAAGAAACAAAAAGGGTACAAATACTACAGACTGATAATTACACATCAGCCGCATATACTATAGAGAATTGCCACTGCGGCACTAATTTCGATCGTGACAGAAAAGAAAGGCATTAATTTAATTTACACCACATCAGTAATTAATATTATTAGCGTGGTGCGTTCTTGTATAGTGTAGTACTGTAGTGCCATATGGATGGACCATGGTGGTGGCCATGGCGAGGACCGACCGACAGCAGTCAGCAGGTAGTCCTCAGTCACTGCGTGGTGATGAGGGGCGACGGCGACGGCGACGGCGACGGCGTCGGCGTCGGCGTGTTACTGACGGACACGGACTGGACGAGCCAGTCTGACTCCGGCAGCGGCTGCATGGGCGGCAGCGAGAAGTGTCCGACGGTGGAGCTCCCGCTGCGCACCTCCTGCATGGTGAGCAGCGCGGCGACGGTGTTGCGGAAGATGCTCTGCTCGGCGACGGCGACCGCGTGCCGGCGCTCGTGGAGGAGGTGGTCCCTGCTGGCTGCAGCGGGCGGGAAGGGGAAGACGACGGCCTCCATCATGGCCTCGCAGTCCCTCACGAGCTCGGAGATGAGGTCGGTGGTGAAGAAGGGCTGGCGCAGCACGCCCGCGATGACGGGGAGGCGGAGCCCAAACACGCCGCCCGTGCGCTTGTCGAACTTCTTGAGGATCTTGGCGAGCCCCGTGTAGTTGACGCTGCTGTAGTTGAGCAGCAGCACCATCTCGCCGTGGAAGTCCACCACCTCGCGCTGGATGCGCGCCATGGTCTCGGGCGCGGAGGCCGATCCCTCGGCCACCGCCCGGTGGATGCGCTCCTGGAGCTCCCTCTGCCGGATGACGAACTCCTCCTCCCGCTCCAGGAAGAAGGCGTTGAACTTGTCGATCTCGGCGTCCAGGAGCGTCAGGAAGTCGGCCTCCGCGGCCCGGGATGACGATGGCGCCGCTGGCGCCGCCGGCGGGGAGAAGGAGGAGGAGACGGCGTTGACGCGGCGCTTGAGCTCCTTGTAGTTGAGGAAGTGGCTCCGCCACTCCGGCAGGCTCTCCTCGATCTGCTTCTTGAGCCGCTTGCCGAACTTCATCGGTCGCCCGGTCTTGCAAGAACTTGTTTGATCGAGATCGGAGTAGATCAATTTGATCTCTCTCTCCCTCTCTCTCTGTGTAATCGAATGACAATGAGAGGAGGGTGAATCACTAGCGACGGCGAGCTTAATATAGGGAGGGAGGTGGGTGTTGGTTAGAGCAGCAGGGGAGGGGAAGGCGAGAAGCGAATATGTGGGAGCATATGCGATGTAATGATAAGGAGAGGATCAAATCACACTTTCGACTTTCGAGTTCTGCTCGTCTGCTGGGGACACCAACGGGCTTGGCATATATTATATTAGTAGGTAGCGTGTTCGTGCGTCGTTATTGGATAACTAAATTTTTATACTAAAAACATATGGATAGTACGTTAAGATAATAATACTGTAAGATATTAAACTGACATTTAATTTTAAAAAGCAAAGTTTATGAAATTAACAGTCACTAAGAACACAACACCGCAGGCACAAACTCTACTATATAGACCTTTTCATGATATGGCTAAAATAATATTTTATATCGGTAAAAAGTCTCCGATATTACAAACTAAATGAAGCAATCAAATATGTCAGATAAACATTGCTTAATCCACATATTTTAAACATGTTTGACCAATGAAAATACACAAAATGACTATTATATTAAACTAAATTCTTGTCCATCATCTATTTAAAGTGCATGTCACAAGCGTGTAAATAATTTCAATATTATTTAGTTCTTTAAATCTATGAGACGCGACACGGTGTCCTTAGCAAATTCTTGAACTCAACGACGTCTGGCTTCATCAACAAGCAGACGATTGCGTAGGCTATAAACAAATAAAAAACTTTTGGGTCAATGTTGTAGTCAATAAATTAAATCAATGAATTACTCAAAAAGAACCTCACTTTGAAAATCATGCGCCTGATTACAAATAGGACTGAATACCAATTCGCTGAAATCGTCAGTAGTGGTCACTCCGCCTATCATGCACGAGCAAAAAAAATGTAATAACTGATACTTTATTTAGTCAATACATATGAGGACATCAGTGATACAATACTTCTCTTTCTATTCATTTGTACATGGAGACCAGTTAAAATGCGCAATTCTAATGCCGCTGGCCGCCATTCCAATAAGTGACGGCATATGTGTGTATACTTGACGGTTATTATGATGCAGTGGTACATACGAGTTACAAAATTGATTAGCATCAAACAATAAAAAATTGATAGCATGAAGCAATGATAAAATTTTCATTGTAAGTACCTTTCATTCATCAGCACCATATATCTGTACGATCGCATCCACACGTCATCCCTTCCTCTAATGTTAGACACATGCACAACTATACCAATGACATCTACAAACACAAACGATAGTTATTGATGGAATAGGAGCATGAACAGTTAACTATGTATTTTTTAAATATAGGCGTATAAGGTATACCTGCAAAAAAGTACTCAGCTTGAGCGTATACATCCTCGAATTCTATAAAGGTACGAGGACACTGACAAATCCATAGCTCTCTTGGTGGTGCATTAGCCATACTTTGTGGAGATAGAACCACAAAGTAGTCGGCACATAAACGAAAGTTGTAGCCTAAAGGACCAACATGAGTAGGCGTGAAGCCAACTCTCATGAAGTCATAACATTCTCCTACACGAAGCAAACGATCGAACCTCATGGTTTGGTCACCGTACGCAACCGCTTCCATTTTGGTTCCCTGTAAGAATATTAGATCCAACAGATAGATAACAATGGTCTGTAGAAAAAAATTATACATGGTCCAAAAAGATGAGCTCAAAATGCACATGCTCATCCTTCAAAATTACATGCAAATATGTATCACCATGGTGATGTCGTACATTGCCTTTCCAAAAAACCATGGCACTCACATCCCATATGGAAGATATGTGTTCCATTCCCACTTCATGGAATTCAATCCATCTACAATCCCGTCCGTGTCAATCAAAATGATAAAACACACGAGTAAACCTATGTTGACAGAAAATGATTGCCTCGATCAATTACAAGATAAATGTAACGTAGTTACCTGTAGATGTGTGTATCGGTGATTGCAGGCGGTGGGTCAGCATACACCCTCTTTCTTTTGAGCGACCGACAGCCAGAACCCATATCGGCAACTGAGAAACCAAAATTATGAAAAATATACAGGATGACATTAGTTGAACATAATATACTATTATTCTAAGTAGATCGGCAAGCAATTAAAGATTTAAAGTTGTTCGCGTGCTCTGTGCCTCTGTCCTGTTATCTTGATGATGTCATGTGAGGCCTCTAAAATAACTACAACACCTACATTGTTAATTTGTTAGCATACATGACCGCAAATTTGATGCCCGTGCGTGGCCATGTGCCAACAAAATTTGAACTGCAGTATACGGTGATAGATCGTGATGCAAATCAAACCATCAAAATGAGATCATGTTTTGGTTGCTATCATGATGCATTAGAAATAATTTTTGGTTTATGATTTATTATTAGAGTTGTGTAGCCTCCAGAAATCCAATCCAAACAGGGCCATGAAATTTAGTATAAAAGTTTAGGTGTCCCGTAGCAGCGTACGGGCATGCTACCTAGTATGCACAAACTGCACGTGTTCTTTTTTTCCCTATTGAAGTTCTTAACTTTTGTTTACATATTATACTCCCCAATAAATTCTGAAGACCACTTCTATTGATTACACATGTATCCCGTGCAAGCAGGAGATACCGTTTGGATGGCACCGTTTGTTCCTCGGTGGTAAGTGTATGCCACCTTCGTGTTTGGCGTCTACTGACTTGTCTTTTTTTAGCTAGCTCACGGCTGTTGTCATAAACCATAACGTTTCAGGTATGCTGCCCTTGGTAAGACCAGGACGAGATACTTGCTGTACAAAGATGTCAATAGGAATCCATTGATATGATCGAGAAACCAGAACAGTAAGGCAATAAATCAAATGGTGAACTGTGCCAGGTATGAAGATATTCAGTGGGAGGTGATCACAGGAATGAGAAAAGATCTTATTGTATGTTGAAAAATCTTGAAACCAAATAACATGGGAAGTTGAATGTTCACTTGTGATGTTCATCACTGCCAGTATCTGGTGACTGGTGTAATTTGAATTGTGATGTAACATATTCTGGATAGCAGTTGCTGAGTTGGATATGATGTGGCATTTGTGAATGGCTAATCCCATGAATCTAGGTGATGTTTGGTTTAGAAATGATACTGCATATATATACGGTATATATCCAGGGGGAATTATTACAGGATAATCAGTTTTCCATTTTGTTCGGTTCTAGTCAGGCACGGGTACTGCCCGAGCCCGATGATTAACGCTGGATTTGCACTAGCCTGGGACCCTATCCAGGGGACTTTTATGCCCACGTGAACCAAACAAATTTAAAGGATTCAGATTTTGAACTGGTGTGGGACTTGATTACGCACAAAGTGCACCAAACAAATTCAAATGATTCAGATTATGCTGTGAACAGATAGCGTCTCAAAATTATTGAGCTAAGCACTTTCTATGTGTGGATCTAAAAATCACGCATGTTCCTAACCCAAAGATGCGTGCATCAAGTATATGAGTGCAGTGGTATGGTAATGGCAAACAAATATATGCAAAAATAAAAAGTCGATAAGTAGGTACTTTTAAAAAAAAAAGAAGAGATAATTTCAAACATGCATATTATATTTGCAGTGGAAATAGAAAATCAAAGATAAATATAGTTCTATGATAGTTCCATGTTACAACTTACATCAGGACAGGATGGGATTCACTAACAGGGTGGACGTTTGTGGAAGACAGAAGATGTTGGAAGCTCCCCGTGACAATCCGCAGTCCTCTTCGAGGGCACAACAAGAAGGCGATGGCGACAGGCGACGCGCTATAGCGAAGCACAGCCGGTGCGCGAGGGAGGGCATGAGGGCGGAGGCCGGTGCGAGCGAGGGCGAGCTCAGCTGGCGAGGGTGGGCGCTATGACGAGGCCACATGATTTATAGCAGATGATTGATAGCACTCTCTCTCTTTCCTTTTGTCTTAATTCTCTTTCCTTCTGTGTTAATTATCTTTCCTTTTGCTCGTTGTCATATATGTTGGTGTATGCAAACATGCAATGTGTATATGGATAGCACAATAATTTTCTACTCCCTATTTTACCGTGATTCCTCTATCACATGACAGGCAATATTCAATCAAGGAGAAAGGCACAATCAATCAGTAATTAAGATTAACCTGTAATCAATGTATAATCGGTTTGACCAGCCTATAGTACACTGTTTATTTATTTATATAGTATAGTGCCCGTGCTAACGCCACGGCTTTATTTTAGGGATGCACATGAAGATAACCAAACTATGGTGGTACTTCGTCACATAAATATAGTATATCAAGACAATTAAGAGAGATTTCAATTCATTGCATCATTTTTAGTATATTATAGAAATTTGTCCTATACATACGCCATTCAGATAATGTGTATTATACAGCTAAATTTAACAAAAAAAAACAACAGAAACATTTAGCCAGCTATAAAACATAAATTCTCAATTCTAGCTACCGCTATCGATCTGCCAATATTGTCTTCTTGCTTTAGGTGATGTCATAAAAAACATTCGACTGACCTTTTGGACCTGCAATGGCTATATACTTTGTCAGTACTACAGATTAGTGAAAACAGAATAAAGTTGAATTAAGAACGACAAGCTTAGAAACTTAGACAAAAGGTAGGCGTCTATATTTAAGGGGACCTTATTCTTTGAACACACTAATAATTATATCAACATAGGTTGCATAAGTCTCAGTCTACTGCATAAGAACAGAAGTTAAGGCAGTGTGATTACTAATGTAGGTATGGAGTCAGTTCCAAGCATGAAAAAACGAAGCTGAGTCGAAAAAATAACTATTTATACATTTGTGAAAGAAATGCTGAATCATGTGTTGAGTATATTAATATAAATAACATGACAATATTTATGGATAACTGATCTCCTGCTATACCCTTATCAGTTACAAATTAAGAAAGATGGAATGCAGAATAAAAGGAATATATTCTTGCAAAAAGAAAAACAGGTTGTCAGCTTCGTCATGTCATAGTAAGTTAGAAAAAAAAGGAATTTCCCTTACCAGATCTCTCCTACAAACTGTGTGAAGTTCTAACTATATGAAGTAATGAAGAATATGATTTGCTTCTTGCAATTGCACATAGTAGCAGGTAGTTTGGGTTGCTTTCAAATATTAGTCTTACAAAATAAATAATTCAAAGAATCTTTGGTAATGGAAGTGAGACAGATTAGTATTTACATCAGTTCAAATTCCAAAGGTTACCAAGGGAGAAAAAGACAGAAAAAAATCCATCCTACCATATGATAGGGTTGTTAGCTAGCACCCATCTCTTGACGCTTCGCAACCAAGGTGCATTCAACACAGATCCATTCATCCATATCCCTAACATGAGTCCTAAGTCCTAAAGAAAGTCCAGTTACTCTCAAACCAATCCGATGTTTATTTACTCACCGATGTCTGATAAAGCTCCATGCACCTGAACTCCATCCTGCTCTGCGCATCCGACCAGCACACACATGCCTGTTGTATTTCCTGTTGCCTGCTGTATTTCCATACTGCTGGTTCCATTGGCTGCTCCATCTTGCATCTTGTGGACAAATTAGTCGTATTGAGGAAGCACAACAGACATCATCGACCTAAAAAAAGAATGAAAGCATGAATCAGTTCTTTAGAAAAAAAACACAACCACAAGATGCAAGCAGCCACAGGCAACCTCTACTGTAAAAAAATTAAATCACTGCAACAGAGAAGATTTAACAAAAAAATACATTAGAAACATTTAGCCAGCTTTTAAAACATAAATTGTCAAGCTGTCGTGTTCTCTTTTCCTTGAGCCGGTTTCCGCCCAGGGAAAAAAGGAACAATCCTAGGCAATAAAAATAAAATTTTCTTACTTCTAAATTGGTATTAACATATTGGCAAATAACTTCCATTTTTCTTTCTCTGGATTTATCATAAGATTTTAAATTTAACTCATAGAAGTGCAGAACTGTTAGAATCATAGTTATCAGGTTGGCTTGTCAATTTTGTGGCGAACACTGCTGTAGCAATAGGAGCACCTGCAACAAGTTCTGGCAATTAGAATGCCAAGATGTAGCCAGGTATACATGAAATGGAAAGAGGCCCATGCAGTATAAAAGTAGGCAAACAAAAGAATGACAATGGAAAAGTAGCTAAACAAAAGAATGACAATTGGCAATTTATACAGCAAGAACTTCAACATTGTAGATCTGGAAACAAAACAACGGCATTTTTCCTCGGCTTGCTCCTTAAGCCATACTGATCACGAACCATACTTTTCAGTTTTCACACATCAGAAAAAAAAAATAACCCAAACAAACAACCTATCTTGGCCCTTTCCACGATGACCTCAATTAATTAGGAAGCAATATTGGTCTATTGATCCCTTTAAATAAAGCAAAATTCTATTCATGAGAAAGTACATAGCATGGATGATGTCGATGTCAATACATATTATATTGTGATTTTTTTTGGCGAGCCAAAAATAAGTTAGCCCTGAAATACAGTTCAAAACCGAAGGATTTTGCATCCTAACCTTGCTCGCAACTGTTCCATTGTTGTTTCAAGCATCATTAGAATATCAAGCTAGCACTGAACGAAATGAATAAGCTTGTATCTACATCCTCTAGGTACCTTGTTAAATAGAATAGTATATTCATCTGCTCTATGCCTGGTAAATTATTTGCTGGAATAATCATGTTGGTGTGACAAAGAACAAAAGAAAGCATCGGTGGTTTACCTCTTGACCTGGTGACACAAGAACTTTGCTGGTCAGGATGTTTCACCTTTCTAATGAAGTAGCTATCGCTTCATGAGTTCTCTACAAAATAAACACCAAGACAAATAAAAATACAAAATCTAAGAAATCTAAGAAATTGGAACAAATAATTCAGTCGAACATAATCTAATTAAATTATATAGATTATTTAACGTAAGTAATAAATGGATACATCACAGACCTTGAGTTGCTTTGTTTACAGTTTAGTTTCTTTAGCCGTCAGATTAGCGTTTACATACCTTCGGCTTGGCCTTGCGAAGTTCAGAATTGGGGTTGGGCGCTGCAATGCGCTGCTGTATGTTGTGATTTAGCCACTCCACCTCAGCGGCAACAGGAAGAGATGACAGAGGTGTCGATGCCCAGCTCCAGTGCCTGCAACTGCAGCACGCAAACCGGAAGAGCGATTAGATTTTGGTAGGGAAATAGAGGCTAGAGGAGTGGTTCTCATGCGTGCCGTGTAATTGCGTCCAATCTGCCCGGGTGGCCGGCCGCAGGTGGCGCTCGAGGTCGGGGGAAAAAAGGAAAGCGCCAGAAGGGGAGAGGTGCTCACTAGTGTCGGGATCGCGTGCTGCCGCATCCCGTGCGACCGGCAGATTGACAGGGGGTCAGGAATACGACATAATCGAAAACGGATGTGGTGATGGAGGGGCACCAGAGATCCGTACCTTGGCAGCTTCGGGGGCTGTGACGATGCAACCTCGTCAGTCGCTCCTATACCCGCCGTCGTGTCCTCCGTGGGCGCCGACGCTGATGAGCTCGGCCGCGCGGATCTAGACGGAGTCCGTGTCGACGAGCCCCGCGTGGTCCGGCACGAAGATGGTGAGCGCGAGGCGCATCTAGTGGTAGTCTTCCTCGTCATGGCCGCCTCCACCCTGAGCCCCCTGGGCTCCTCCGCCGCGAGGGCGACCAACACAGCCGCGGCGGGAGTAACCACCGGGTGTGTACAGCGGTGTCCACCGCCAGTACAGCATCCCTATGACAGCGTTGGGAGGGATCGAACCATGGAGGGAGGCTGCGGGCGTGTGGGGCTGGTGGCGGAGGGAGGATGGAGTGGAGCGCGTGATGTGGTATTGTACGGACGGGAAGAGGAGCGACCCAAAAAAAAAAGTCGCACGAAAAAATAATCTTACTTTTGTTCTTTTTAATTATAGGAGATACTAGGTAGCGTGCCTGTGTATTGCTACGGGATATCTAACATTTTGTACTAAAAACACACGGATCGTACGATAAGATAACAATACTATAAAAATTAAATACCAACGTTAAAATGACATTCAAACAATCAAAAGTCTATTAACAGGCAACCTGAAATTCATGCGACACTTTTCACACAGACAAACATAATTGTCACAAATTTAATTCCATTGCCTAGTAACTACTGCTCTATTGAGATGTCCTTTGCAGCACAGAGCTCCATAGTCCAAACTAGATATACATATATAAAACTATCTTGCTTAAGTGAACACATCCTAATGTAAGGGTACTCCTCCTCAACGTCAATGCATAGTCTTCTTGAGATAACTGAAGGTCATCACCATCAGCCCACAAAAGCAAACCGAATCACAGAATTAGGTTCTGATGAATCACACTGCAAACCTTGATATGGCAGCTATGTCTTACTGTCACATTAAAGAAAACCAAAATACCAGCCATCTCTTCTCCAAGAACAGGAAAGAAACACCTCTGAGCTTATGCTCAAGAGTCCTCTCCTTCCAGGGCATTTCCTATCGCTGCCATATCACCGCTCGAATATAGTGCCTCGTCAATTTTTGGTCTTAACACAGGACTATCAGAACACAGAAGCAGAGGATTAAGAGCACACTACAAAAACGGCAACAAAAAAAGTGCCTTAAATTTTGTCAAAAATTATGTCTCCTGGCCTTGTTGCCATAAGGACCAAATGACCAACAGCATTATTGTGTGGTGGTGTCATCTACAAAAATAGATATCAAGAACTTAAATAATTACTGTCCAAATAGATCTATGGAAAGCTAACCTAAATTGTTCTCCAAAATTTTCATATATGCACTCAACTCAACAAAGAAAAGAGGCCAACTCACCATGATTTGCTTCTTAATCACTAGACCAGGGCAGTGACGCATCGTGAAAAAACAAGTGCCTTTGAGGTCATAAACTCGTGAAATATTGTGGCTAAAGAGAAGACTTTCCATCACCGTCAAGTCGATCTTTACCTCTGTGCCATGCCTAATTTGCTTAACCTGAACAGGCAAGTGAGTCCAAATGAAAAAAAACAAGAAAAACAAATTGAAATCAAACACAAGCTCGATATAACTACCTGATAGATCTTCCTCTTGTTGTTAACAAGAAATACAAAGGACTGTTCCTTTCCTGTTTCAAGGGGTATCACGCGGAGCTTGTACTTGCAGTATGGAAGCTATGGTTAACTGCACAAGAAAATGTGTGAGCATAAAGACTTTCTTCAGAAAAAGTATTGACATGAACAAGATATGGCTGCAAACAAAATGAAAACACAATGTTTAAAAGAGCCAATATAATAGTTCCTTCTGAAGCCAAGATCTTGTCCATTGCCTCTTTTGTAGATTTAAAAGAGCCTGACAAGATGACATATCACAAATATTTAAGGACAACTTGTGACAAGTAGTGATATTGGAACAGTAATGCCACTGCACTACAAGTTAATCAACCATAAGAGGAGTCAAAATAATGAAAATTAAAAATTAAAAAAAATTGAGGTTGCTTCAGATGTAGTGCAATTAAGCAAGACAACAGGAGATAATGTCTTATTGAAACATAATGAGGAAGAAATACCTCACTTGATTAATACTTTAAGTAATTTTTGTCACTGTAAAGCCTAGTTTTTTTGGAATCTTCACAGTAGAGTTCAATAAAGAAATTGAATGATTGCTTATTTTAATCAGCACATAGCTTTTTTCAGCAGAAGTCGGTTTTGTCTAACTGCAATAAGATTTAATATGTTTTGGTCAGTCTCAGGAATTATATGAGCTGCTATGGTCATACATACCGATTAATCTCCATCAGATCCTTATAGCTCCACAAGAATCCTAAGATAAAAGAAACTGAACTAAATCAGGATTTAATCCTTGCCACAATAAAACTAAAAACATAAGCAGGATTTATTTTCACTGTATATTAGACCATTGATCTTTTTAGCATGAATACAAAAGGAAATAATAATCTATTGCAGGGTCAACCTGTACAGATATACCTGTTCCCAAACAGCTCTTCATCAGGATCTAAAGTTTCAAGTATGTCCTCCATCTGTATGTTTCTCATGCCTGATATCCACCTGCATTATCCACCTGATTAGACATCCAAAATTAGTCAGAATTTTTTATACAAATGCAGAAACATGATAGGTCGAAATAAGTTTTTGGTGAGTAAATATAATTTAGATTTTTGGTTCTTCCTGTATGCTCATTTCCGAATTCAATGTACAAGTAAGTTGCTAATAAGAAAAATAACTTGCGTTGTCATTTTCATTAGTATGCATCTGCATTTAAATTAGAAATCTATTTTCCTTCTATATATTTTATCACAAATAGAAAAACCAGAAACAATGGTTTCAGGTTCCAGTTCATATCTATTGTCATAGAATTCAGTCAGAAAGTGGAGAAGTTGTATGGCATGTAAGCTGGTTGCAAATGTCTTCGATACACAGCCCACTATTTCACCGGAGAGCTCCTGGAGAACGCGGGCTCCTTCCCGGCAGCAGCATACCCTTTGTTACTCACATCAATTGCTAGACCAGATCCCTACTCCTTAGCTGGACTTGAGGCACACTCAGAAAATTCAAATCGTAACAGCATTCTGAAACTACCGAAGAAGAAGAAGAACGCACCGATAAATTCTTGGCCTTGGTGGAGCCGGACCGCGGAAACGACTTCTTCCCGAAGAGCACGGACTTGATCCACTTCACCGGAGACTTCCCCATTGGACCCAAATCCGCTGCGCACCAGACCGGAGGGGTTCAGATCCTGCAACAGAACCGCACATCAGTCCTCGGCCGGAGCGTCATAGCAGCAGCCCGGGGAGGCGCGAGGGGCAGGAGCGGCGTGTGCGACGTGATGGAGCAGGGAGGGGAGAGTCAGAGTCAGAGTCGGGGTCGCGCGTGCCGCCGCCGTCGCTTGCTCCCGTGGCCTGGAGCCCGAGACCTCCAGAGCGCCGCAGCAGCAAGCATCGCCGCCGCACTGCCGACAGCCGGAGCTAGGGTTTTGAGCCTGGGGAGGCGCGCTGGGAAGGGAGGTGAGAGAAGGAGTCGGAGTCACCCGTGGGGGAGAGAAGTCGAGCCTGGACTGCCGGCCGGCCGGCCGGCCGGCGGCGCCCTGCCCTGAGGTTCGTCCCGTGGGGGAGAGGAGAGGAGGAGTCCGTGAGTGGGAGAGAGGAGGGGTCGGGGGAGCGAGGGGGTCGCACGAGAGGAGAGGAGGATCGCACGGATGGGAAGGAGGAGCTAAAAAAAAAAATGTCCCACCAAAAAATTATTTTACTTTTATTCTTTTTAGTGGTAGAAGATTAAAGAGATTAACCAATTCAAATAAAGATGTGTATCATATCTCTTTGCTCCAATGAAAGGGCACCAACTCAGGATGCATAATACAACTACTGTTAATCTCCTCAAACATCTACAAAGTGCACACCAGTATTTTCAATCCTCTCTATCGATTTCACCGGTGCATTTAATTAATTTGCACTATTAGTTGTACCATGCTCTCTCTTTCATTCTCCCCTCATTTTTCTAAGGAAAATTTTCCAACCAAATGGAAGCGTTGTTGTTTAGGGCCTCTTTGGAACACAGGGCATCTAAAACACAAGAATAGAAAAGGCATAAGATTGAAGTTATGTGTCACTTGTAATCCTTCAGAAATTGTAAATGTAGAAAAGCTTATAATGGAGCATTTGATACAACACATGAGAAATACAGGAACTAAGAGAGAGAGAGAGAGAAAGGAAATTAAAGTTCTCAAGAGATTGTATCCTCTGTTAGATTTTCTCTAAAATTCCTATGGATTGAGTTTTGTAGGAATTCAAGATGGTCAATCTTTTGTTGCAAAGGGCCACAGAAAAATCTCCTATGTATAGGTTTACAATCCTAGAAAATTCCTTCATATATCATATGTTCGAAAGGGGGCTTAGACGTCTTTATGAAAACCGGCTAGAATTTTTATGCTCAGAGAGAGAGAGAGAGAGAGAGAGAGAGAGAGAGAGAGAGAGAGAGATGGACCAAAATTTAGAGAAAAGAAATTTTTGGTCTTTAATATAGGTATATTTAGAATAAAGTTCAATTATCATGAGCTACAGGCAACAATATTTGAAATATCAAGAGGTATGTACCGTGTGTGCTTAATCAAGCAAATGCTTTACAAAACGTGTATGCACAAAATCTTTTAATGCGTGTTTAACGCTACAAATTTAACAATACACAAAATCAAATGTTGTCAACCTTATTAGTAGACTCCTTCTGTCCATGGAAGAATACAATTCTCACTTTTTAAAGAGTCAAACGAGTTAAAGTTTGCCTAAAATCATTAGATAAAAATACTAACATTCATTAAACAAAGTAAGTATCATTAAATTAATTATAAGATATATTTGGTAGTAAACTACATAAATGTTTAAATATGGTCAAAGTTAAGCTAGTTTGATTTGCACAAATTCTATAGTTGCGTTCTTTTATGGGTAGAATAAGTATATCACAACGTACATTGAGCTAGGAGCATAAGGAAAGACTTGTCCACCATTGGAGTTTACCAGAGCAACAAGTAGGTTGGCATAGCAATTTGAGAGTGTGCAGAGCTTTTTTTTTTTTAATGAAAGAGTGTGCAGAGTTGAAAAACGCAGAGGGCGCTCCAATGTGCGAGC